CCGACTGAAGGAGGCATTTAACAACAAAAAGAAGATAAGGTTTTTGGACAGTGCAGACACATTCCAACCACCCCGGCTGTCCTCCCTCCTGACACCAGTCTCCCACTTTGGCTCCAACAGACGCTGAGCTCCTTCATCCCAGTTTACACAGAGAGACAGTTATAAACAAGGAGAAAGGCCCGTTTACATTAGTCCCATTAAACACCAATGAAACAGTCGTGGCTTTGGGGGGGGCCGAGAAGCTCAAGGTACGAGCACAAACGAGATCGAAATGAGGCAGAAACTGGAAATAGAGACCCCCTGAAAGTCATGCAGGATGACTCACTGGAAGGGGGAGGGAAGACATGGAGGAACTCGGGGGAAGCCCTGCGCCTCGGCCACAGGACATCACAGTTTAAACACAGTGATGGAGTGGAATAGCAGAGGGGTGAGTCACCACCGGGCCCCCTTTCTTTCACCACTCCTCCCCACCTCCTCCCTCATTTCTTGTAAGATTTTCCAGCTCACTGATGCGTTCCAGATGTGCCGCAGTCTGGCTGCTGCCGAACAACTGGTAACTTTGTCACATTTGCCAAAACCTTTCCTTCTACCCTCTCGTTTCCTTTCCTACCTTCCCTCCTCGCTCTGGAGGACTACTCCCTCTCTTTTCCATCAGTCGTCCTCCCCTCCGGTTCAATACTCCCTCTCCGGCCCTTAAAGTCAAGCTACCAATTATGCTCCATGTACACCACTCAAAATAAACGTATATCGAGGGGTCGTAATGGAAAAATCAATCCCTGCCACTCCTAGTGCTGCCGTTGCTTTGCTGCTGATGGAATCGAGTCAGGAAAGCAAAAGAGGAGAGGAAAATGGCAATAGAGAGAAGGGAGGGAAAAAAAGGAAAAGTGTGGAAAAAAGTGTCGCTTGGTAGTTTGAATCACTGGTACTGCTAAGTAACATCTTCACGCTCAAAATACTCAACTTCAATCATATAAAACAGACAGCAACACATCTACGGCAATTGAATTGGGTAACTGGTTTGCTTTACTCTGTCTCTACAATGTACAATAAATAGATAAATACAAAAAAATGAAAATCTGTAGATAAAAATTACCAACATGGATGAAAAATAGTGGAGCAAATGGTGGAATTCTATATGTTCAGGCTGCAAAAGCTGTGAAAAATAGCAATAAATAGCTGTAAAATATTGATATATTTAGCTAATTCAGAAACATTAAAAGGGGTGTTTTTACAGTAAGACATGTAAAAGAACCAAATACTTGCAAAAATACATTTTTTTTTCTCCCACAGTCAACATGTAAATTAATACTGTAATTTAACAAAACAGGGAAATCGGTAAAGTAACAGTTAAAAAACACATATTTCCCATTTTTCAGTCCTTAAAATATATAATTTCTTATTGAAACATTTGTAAAGTAATGTTTGTTTTTTTTTTTTTTTTTTTGATTCAATTCCAGTCCTTGTACATTACCAATTGTTTTTTTTTTTAAACTTATTTTTTTTTTTTTTTCCGTTGACCTTTTAATTGGGTCTTTTGTTTTTTTTTATTTTTTTAGATATCTGTGTTATATCGCAACACAGAGAATTTTTGTAATATTGTTTTTAATGTTTTTTTTTGTGTCTCTTAAAAAATTACGTTCTTTTTTTTTTAGTGTCCATGTGTAATATTTTTTTTGTTTTTTATGTTATTTTTTTTTTTTTTTTCTGGTTTTTTTTTTTAAAGTACAGCTTTTTTTTTTTTCTTTTATTTTTTTTTCTTTTTTTTTTCTGATATTCTTTTTTTTTTTATCACTGTGTGTTTATATTGAGTTTTTATTTTGTGTTTTTTTATTGTTTTTTTTTTTTTCGTTTTTTTTCCCCCTTTTTTTTGTTTTTTTTGTGTTTTTGTAGTTTACTTTTTTTTTTCTGTTTTTTTTCTTTGTTTTTGTATGTTATCTGTACGTTGCCACTCTGGGGAACATTTTTAAAATGGTTTAAAGTTGCTTGAAAGTTAAATGGGGGGGGGAAAAGTGGCGGGAGAGTGGCAAGAGAGCGGAGGGGGAGAGGAGGAGAAAGGAAAAGTGTGGAAAAAAAGTGTCTTTAACAGCACAGCATGGAAACACGACAGGATCGCACAAAGAGGGGCCACTTCCCCAAATGGAAGAAGAGCCGAAAATAGGTTCTCATATCAGGACGTGACAACATCTCCCTCCTGCACAGTCACTTTTGGCACACACAAGGCTGAGATGTTCGGGAAACAACTCTCAGGCACAGAGGTCATGTGAGCTGCTTGTTTCGTTGTCATGACACAACATCACTTACTCAATTTCACCCATAATCCACTTACAGGGAATCCGTGGGTCGAGACACAAGACGAGCTCTGTTGGAGACACCAGCCCACAGTGTGTATGTATATAGGAGCTTAGTGCTGGTATACCATGGCTCCAGCTGTGTGTTTTCAGAGTCGGAGGGAAAATATACCACTCCTCTAACCTTTCTTTCACCTTTGTCTAAGCAAAAAAAAAAAGCAGAAATGTTCACTCTTTTCCCACAGAGCAGCCCTGACATCAATTTTGAAACAGCATCATGAGACAGAGAATCTCTTGGATTAAACACACTGTGGGGTTTTTTTTCTGATTCAGACTGACCTGCCACACCTAAAGACTGAGACTGTGACACAACTCTGCACTGAAATAAACTGCTCAACAGCGAAATCAGTCTCAGAATCACTCGTGTTTTTACCACAAGCTGACCCTGACAGCAGAAAAACAGAGCAGCGCCTTGTGTCGGTGTGACAGCTGAAGCTCATGCAGAGGTTCATTCATTGACAGTGAAGGTGGGTGTGCCGCCTGCCACACCCTGCTGCCGCCACATACAGCCACACTGCAGCCTGCTAAACTCACACGAAAAACACACAAGATAACTTTATTTTTAAATTTTACTGTAGAAATCGAACCTAAAGAGACACTTTTGAAAGCATCTGAGCAAGTGAAAGTTGCTCACTAGAAATGTGCCACCCTGGAAAACAGTTTAAAACTAAATGTAAAACTCTCTTTAAAGGCACATTTAACAGAGCCTCTAACTAAAAATACATGCTTACTTCCTTTCCAACTTGTAGCTTTTGATGGTATCTTCTCAGAAAACATGCAAGTAAGCAAGATGCAACAAGTCCTGAGTGAAGTCATCCCCCCTTGCCTCTCTGTTTCTATCACACAAATCATTGCTTCAATTGAATCCACAAGTGTTCTTACCTTTCTGATACTTGGCTGCTGCTGCTGCTGCTCTCCAGAACATCCAGCGGTAAGAGAGTCACAAATTGCAACTCCTCAGCCCCCCGAGTGGACTAACTAACGGCCCAGAGGAGCAGCTCTCCGCCCAGAAAACCAAATTAGGCGTCAAATGTCTGCACCGTTATTCACATCTGTCCGAGCTGCTCCTCCTCCTCCTACACCCTGCAACACACCCAGCGTAGAGCGGCAGCAGCAGCAGCAGCAGTTTGCCTTCCTTTGTAATTATATTGCTTGATAAGTTTACTGCGTCTCTATTGGCTGGCAGCATGATGAAGAGCAGAGAGTGTTACACAAATAGATGTTTAGTTTAGATTGGATTAGATTCAATGTTGTTATACGTATTGTAGAGTACACATGAAAAGAAAAACAGATAACTCCATCTTCACAAACCTTCAGAAAACTCACTTTTCCATCATCTACCTGAGACAATATCAAACTTAAGTTATCTTTATTTTTGTCATGTCATTTCTACTGAGTCACATCCACTCAGCTTCAGCTTGATTGATATTATCTCAAGCAGACAAACCAACAAAGAAAGGTTTTCTGAATATCTACAAAAATGGAGTTATCTGTTTTTGCAAATGAACTCTTCAGATACTAAGAGGAAGAAAAGCAGTTTAACTTTTAACCAGAAGTGCAAAAGAAGCAAGTAGAAGTTCAGCACAATGTAAAAACAAAAGTATGAATGTGCTGAGATATATGCAGCTTTATTAACTGTATAAACAGCATCAGCATCGCATGTGTGCAACATGTATGAATATCCAGGATGTAGAACTAATGGAATTTATGTTGTTTATACTTTTATGGATGAAGGAACTGTGTCATTCATTTGTATATTATTAGAAACACAGATAGCTTCACTCATGGGTAATTTTAGTCCCCTTATGTAATCAGACATAATCTGAGCATGGCTGAACTATCTTCAAGAAAACTAGTAATCTGTTTTAAAATCTTCTGTCACCAAAATATCATGTAAATTATGCAAAAAACATATGTTTTAATATGTAAAAGACAACAATTTCCTAACTTTCAGCGCCACAGTCAACACTATTTTTTTAAGCTGAAAATGATTGCATTCTGGAAACTCCCTCAACAAGCATCACCGATTAAAACTTATTACTCATTCTTCGCCTCTCCGAGAGCGTTACTATCGACACTGGTCTGAAAATGCTAAATATTTGTCTGTGCTGCACTCTCAATCAACTCACTCTGAGCCTGTTTGTATGCGTTGCTAAGCGACAGAAGCAGTAACCCCTGGCAACACTGGCTTATTTACTGAGAGCTGAAAATTGACGCGCTTCCTGAAAGAAAAAAAAAAAAAACTGAGAGTGAAAGAGGGAAATGTGCTATCACATGCGCATTCTCACGAGATTACCTTAACTTGTTTAAATTGCTCGCAGTCGCACCATTAAAATGTGGAAGTTTACCACAAGGTCAGAGACTGTGAGTTTGTTTATCCTGCCTCAATCTGACATTTATACCTGAAAATAGTTATTAAAAGGAAAAAAAGTTACATATTGTTCACAATTTTAGCATTTAAAGACAACAAAACAAACAAACAAACAAACAATAAAAGGGAATGGAACCTTGCTTTATATTCCTTAACTCATCCAATTCTACTGATGTTAGAGATCTCAAAAGTTGTTCAAATTCAGACCAAAGACTGTATTTTTAATAGGAAATGTGGATGCATCTATATAAATGTGCTTCCAGGGGCCACTCTTGTTTGAAAATGTTGCACCTTTTTTACATTTTAAAGAACCAAGTATTACAATTTTGTCATCTGGAGCTGGAACCAGTCAGTTGTTTGGATCTGCTGGAAACAGTTTTGGTCTGTGTCTCCAATAAACCTATGGCTGTGGAAGATAATGAACATGGCTCTACACGTGAGATGTTTATTTGAGGGTGAAAATACAAAAGTTGTCAAGTCTCAAAAACATATAAAATTATTAAGTAAGTAAGCAAACAAGTAAACTTTGAGCAAAATCTGAGAAAGTGGAGCAACACTGTTATCGGAATTTACATAAACTGATCCAAAGATTAAGATGTGTAAATATAATCAGAACCTACTAAATGCAGAAAAACAACCGCAACATTTTTAGATTAAAATAGCTTAACATGTACATTTTATTGGGTTTGATATCAACAGACCCAGTTTGACTTTGTACACAGTTTCTATAGTGCATCATATTTTATTTACATGGTTTCTATGAAAAAAATCTTAGTAAGGTACTAACTACAGCTGTCTGGTAAATATACTGGTATATATGCATCTGAATTGTAGATAGTGGCATAAAATGAAAGTACTACAGTATATTAACTCATATTTTTCCTTTAGTGCAAAATTTGAATGAATGTTTTAGTGATATAAAATATCGGTAGACAGTTTTAGAAAGGCGCCGCAGCCATTTTCTGCAGATTAATAAATCATTGTTAAGTTTAAACAATTGTTGTCCTTCTTTCAAATCACAGTTTCACTTGCATATATTTGGTGAAAAAATAAAAAATTAAACTGGCAGCCGAGGCGTACAAGTGAGCAGAGTGAGGCTGCACCTCGGCAAAAGAGAAGCTGCAAACATTACCACATTTCCTGAGTTGGCTGATGTTTACACGATGACATCAGAATTTGGTTACTAGGTTTTCATATACAAAGAATCTGACTTGGTGTTTAGGTCCATAACATTTGAAGAAGGACAAAAGGTGAAATAACAGTCGGTGTCACACATGAAATAAACAGTAAATGTTCTAAGATATATGAGAAACAGATATTAAAAGTTAAATAAAAAGCAGGTGTACAAATTAAAGCTATTATAAAGCAATAAAGAAAGACATGTAGTAAAATATTTACAGTGTTATTTGGAGGAGTCTATATTTCAGGTAAAGTCATTGCTAATCAGAGCCATTTTACTAATGCGTTATTTAGTTTGTGTATAAACACGATAGAATAATAATAATGATGATGATGATGATTTTAAGATCAGAGCTCTTATTTGACAGTTTGCTTGTAGGAAAAGGGTTAAATCAGAGGATGAAACACAGATTTTAGGATTTAACTAGCAAAGATTTTTTTCCCCAAAGCTGAACAAAAATAGTAATAACAATACATGGTATCAAAAATGCGCAGTGGTTTAAAAAATGAATTAATTAAAAGCAACCAGTTAACTTAATGTGAGCAGCTGGGTGACATTTATTTCCTGGATCTGTGGTTTTCTCTAAACCCACCAGGTGGCGCCAAATTTCAAATCAACTGCGGAGCGGTGACGTTTAATTTCCACGACGTTTTCCGTTACAACAGAGACGTCATTTTTAGGCGCCGTGTGCTGGCTGGCTGTTTGGAGAAGGTAACATCATGGCGTCGGGAGCAGGACAGTCGACCAGCGGACACGATGCAGAATTGGACGAATTATTGGACAGTAGGTGTTGACATTCATTTTTTTTAGCGGGTCTTTCTTTTCGCGCAGTAGCACGATTCGCATTGATGTGTTAACTGTTGGAATTCGTCGCCGGGACCCTCCTTCTCTTTCTCACCGTGTCAGACGTTAGCTAATCGGCAGGTGCACGGGAGGACCTCCCGCTTAGGTCCCAAATATCCATAATAGTAAAGTTGGTGTAAATAATGACTGACAGCTTGTAATATATTAACCCAAGCAAATAAAGCAAGTAGAAGTTGTCAAAGCGTTGTCATAACCCGCTTTGTGTCGCTAGTGTTAGCTAACTCTGATCCTGATCGATTCCCAGTTTGTAACCTCCTCTACTGGCACACGTTAGAGTCACACTGTCGATAATTGATTAAATAACGCTTGTCGTTGTTCTGTGGGTATTCCAGAGTCGTCAGAGGCCTCTGTAGCCCCTTAGATAAAGTGATAATCCATTCACCGGATGATTAAAAAGATTTTTGGTTCGTCTCTGACGTTGTGCTTCTGTTCCCAAACCATAACAAAGATGACAGTCTGCGGGACAGTTGGATAGAAAACAGCTCCCGCAACCGGGGAAATAGGTTCTAATATTTATGTCGTATTTTTTATATATATAATTTAGTGAACGGAGTTTTCTGAGGATTCTGGAAATCTTTTCAGAACAGCTTTAAACGTTTTAGACGACCTTCTAGGTTTTTCCCAACATGCTTATTGTTATCTCAAGCAAGCGATAAGCGATCATTTGGCCTATAAAGTGTCAGAAAACTGTGAAAACATAGTAGGTTTTGTCAAACAAACGGTTCAAAAACAAACTCAGTTTATTATAATAGAGGATGAAGAAAACTGGAGACTGTTCACATTTCAGGAGCTGGGAACAATGAGTTCTTGTGTCTTATCTTTCAATGAACTGATCAGTTGATTGGATTTTTTTCCCCCAGTTAAAGCTATTTCAACTTGTCATATGAAAAACATTTGCTTTACATTTGTACTCCCCATTGCCAATTTGTTAGATAGATTAATACCACAGCCCTGCAAAGATAAATAAACCTTCCTCCAGCCATTTTAAGAGTTATAATGAGTTGCATTCATCTGACAGTTGCATTGGAGGTTCTGGTTTGTGATACTGTAAAACAGTACTGTGTTATACCAATATTTACTGTCCACTCACTGATATTATAACTTAGAATACTGTAGCTGTCATAAATATGTTACAACACAATCTATCTCTCATATGACCACAAACTCGAGCAGTTCAAACTAAAACTCAACATTGTAATCTTTGTGATTGTAGAATTAATTAAAGGATTGTTGATTTAGACCATGTTAGTTTTGTAAAAGTGTAGTTTAGCCAAAAGGTGCTTGTAATATCATGTTTACAGTGTGTTCACTGGGACTCAGTGCATACACGAGTTGGTAGGGTGTACAGAAAACTGATAGCAGACAAACTGACAGTCCAGCCTCCATGTTAAGTCAAGTTTTTATTTACAGTTAATTGATTAACTGTCAACTATTAAATTCTTCACTTACTATTTTGATAATCATTTAATCTCTTTGTGTATTTTTTTAGGGAAAAAAAGTCAAAATTCTTCAACTCCATTTTACAGAATTAATTGATACAATCTGTATTGTGCTCATACCTACGTTACATTCCCCGTTATAAAACTTGGTATACTCAAATTAAGAAAAAAAAGAAGATAATATGTAGCATCTAACAGGAACACACTCCCTCGAACTGACCACCTATTGAGATAATAATTAGAAAATTTATTTTCTATCAAATAACTACTAAATAACTACTAATCTCATTGTACATGTGTATAGTGACAATAAAGGCATTCTATTCTATTCTAGTTGTCGACTCGGTGTGTATGAAGAAAAAGTGATCCTTTTCGTCATCCTCGCTTTCACTGTAACTTTTAAATCATAAGAATCATCATTTTACATCTCCCAACGAGCAAAAATCCATTAGACTGTTCCCATAGTGGCCCTATTGAGTTAACCAAGAGCGCTTGTTGCTGCAGCATTCCCAGTGACAGCTGCTATTGTTTAGTTTTAGACAATGAAATCCTCTGAAATATGCTTCATAAGTTGTAAAGAGATTGTAAAAAAAAAAAAAAAAAGTTTATTACTTTGGTAATTAGATGTTTCTTCTTAAAAATCATAATGAAGTCTTGGTTTTAATAATTGTTGTTTCTTTTAGGTGCGCTCGATGACTTTGACAAGGCATCCGCCCCTCCAGCACCTGAACCTGCAGCTGCTTCCTCTTCAGCCAGCAGCGGTGCAGAGAAGGTCTGTATCTGGTTCTGTCCATATTTTATTATACCTGTGGAAAGCACAATGAATGTGAATGAATTTGCTTTAAATGTCCACACCATCAAGTTTTTTATCTAAGTTATTCTACTATTAGGCAATTTTCATAAGAAATGGTCGTGAAGACAACAACTCCCATGATCCCATGCTACTTCCCAACAACCATCCTGTGATGATGTTTTGATTGAGGGGCTCCTAGTGACAGAAATTACATATTGTGTGTTTAAATGCTGAAAAGAAAATCTCTTCCAGTCTTTCTTCACTGTCTTTTCTATGAAGTACTTCAATGCTTTCTTCCTGCCTGTAGCCGCCCCTGCTTGAAGACTGCAAGCTCTTCGAGACTCTCTTTGAGGGGGACATGGCTGCCCAGGCCAAGGAGGAGTGGGAGAAGGCCATGACAGAGCTGGCACAGGAGGAGCCAGAGCTACTGCAGCACTTCCAAAAACTGTCAGAGGCTGCAGGCAAAGTTGGTAAGACCTGTTATTTCTGGTTTATGTTTATTCTTCGGCTTGATTCCAATTCATGCTTTCCGTGTCTGTGTCCGCAAAAATATGTGTGATGTAAACGTTGTCATCCACCCAAATCTGTGTGGGTTGGCATTGCAAGTGTGCCAACTGCTGTCATCCACACCTTAATAAATCACCATTCACAGAAATATTGTCTGCAAGGCTTTAGAGATGCCTTGATTTTTCATGCTTTCCATCAGTGGAGCCCAGACACAGTAGGAAGTTGTAATTTCTCTGCTATGTCTGACCACTGAGCTTGGCACACCTTGTGAATATTCACAGTGATGGAGCTGTATGTGCAAGTCACTGTTTTGTCTTCTAAAAATTTAACCCCTTGTATTTTCTGGGTTCGATATGAGGGGTAATGCAACTGTCTGTGCAGACCAGCACAAATCTATTGTAGTATTAACAGAGCCACGTCCACTGGAAAGCAGGAATTGGCCCTTACTGTTTTGTTCTTTTGTTCTAAATGCTGCTTGTGTATCCTGAACAGGTACTGACACCGCCTCCCAGCAAGAATTCACTTCTTGTCTTAAAGAAACTCTCCGTGGTTTGGCCAAAAATGCAGACAACCTGCAGGTAGGTAGAGTCTGGATCAGCGATTGTTGTTAAAATGTTAGATGCAAATAAGAGGTCATTTACGGACAATCCGTGTTGTTCTCCTGCAGACCACAGGACTCGCTGGAGACGACCTTGTTAAGGCTCTGGAAGGCCTGGGGTTGGAGGAGGGAGGCGAAGGAAGTGGTGAGGAGGGAAACATCCTGCCCATCATGCAGTCCATCATGCAGAATCTTCTCTCTAAGGAGGTGCTATATCCATCTCTCAAAGAGATCACAACCAAGGTAAGACATTGTTTTTATAGCTGCTGCTGTACTCTTCAGTGTTCGTTTCACCGTTTTTAGTAACTGCAACTCACCCTCACAGTACCCAGAGTGGCTGGAAGCCAACAAGCCAAGCCTTAGTTCAGAGGACTACCAGCGCTATGAGCAGCAGGCCAAGATCATGGGAGAGATCTGTAAGCTGTTTGAGAAGGAGGAGCAGGGGGCAGCAGACAAAGAAAGCACGTTCGAGAGCATCATGGACCTGATGCAGAAGGTGAAGCAGCTTTCTCTTTTTTCAAACAAACACACTTACTGTAGCTGAATATTTAATTGCAATTGTGAGAGACAAAAAAAAATAGAAATTTGTTTGGAATGTGTTAATTTAGAGCTTTGTTTTTTACGGGATACATTTGCCTCATGCTACACATCATCAGAAAAATCATGAAACTGTTACTGTAACTAATTCATTTCATAGGAACCAGCATGTCAAAAGAATTTTTACAGTGCATGTACAATACAGTACTGTGCAAACTTTTTAGGCACTAAAAGTGAGGTGAGGATGCTGCCACAATAATGGAATGAATAGCTTTTGTTTATTAAATAACCTCATACAGACTGTAGTAAACAGAAAAAGCCTTTGTTAATTCACTATTCTGTTTGACCGCCTTTAAAACAGCACAGATGCTCCCCAGGACACTGCTGCAAATTCATTTTAGATGATCATAGACCTCGCTGATGGAATCCAAGCATCTCTAGTGCCTTTATCTCTTGTCACATTCAAGTCATGTAGTCTGTAGAAGACTTCCTTCCTGCAGACTGAGTTAATTGAGTTGGTGTGTGGGCAGGTTTGTCGTTTAAGGTTGAAAATGGCTTGAAACTAATTGCTTTTTACAACTAGTAGGAGAAAGAAATGCAGACTTGTGTTTTGATCCGGAGCATAGATAATTTTGACAATAAAAAATGATGAGGTAAGAGCAAAACTGATTACTGATCACGGTTCTTTTCTTTACAGCTCCAGGATCTTGGCCAACCTCCTAAAGAGTTAGCAGGTGATGCGGTAAGTGAAAAGAGCTTGTGTGTAATGGACCTCAATGTCTTAAAGTACTCTTAATATTGTTTTCAGATTTAAAGGTGGCGTTTGTGATTCAGTTTTTTTGTCAGATTTAGTGAATATTCCCGCACAGTCTGCTCACTGTTCATTCTGTGTGCATGCCGAAAGAAAAATCTGGTGTTCGTACACAACCATGGCTCTTTAAATGAGAAACAAAGTGGCTCAGATTGATCCAGTGTCCTGTGCTTGTTTGTGCTCATGCACAGGACACGGGGAAGGGAGGGGGAACTGACACAACTGACGCATCTGACACGTTATCTAGATCAATATGCTAACTAGCTAAATATCATGGCTCTTTCTTCATAATCACACACTCCACCTTTAATTTGCGGGGGCAAAAAACGGTCTCATAATATCTAATGCACACACCTGTCTATGTTCTGGAGTCTGGAGAACACAGAGACCCCATAAAGTACAATAAAACCGTGATGTAACCAGCTGTAATGTGTTTAGTTCTTATTCTTTCACTCAAACTATTCAACTGTGTGTTGAATTTTTAAGGCACAACAGTCTGCATTCACTGCACACGTCATCCTCAAGAACTAGCTTTCTGGTTTTTCTGTAATTTTTAATTGATTTAAAAACAAGCACTAAAAGGTGTAAAGCATCTTTTATAGGGGTATAAAACAAAGTGGTTTCTGTCTCACTTCTTTCTGTTTTTTTTGTTTTTTTTTCCACCCTCAAGCCTCCCGGGTTTAACTTTGACATGGAGTCCCTCAACCTCCCAGGAGGCCCCGGGGCCGGCGCAGCAGAGCAGTGCTCCATCATGTGACGAGGAGGCGGCAGCGTCCACCACAAGCACCGAAGGGTCCCTCTGAGTGTGTCAGCTGCAGGAAGGGATGACAGAGTGTGAAATAAAGGTCAGGCAGGAGTATGACCGGACCGTCGATACTGTTCTCCCTCAAAAAGAAAAAGAAGAAGGAAGGTGTGTGGAAACATAAACAACAGGAGGAGGCATGAAACACCAACAGGAACCACACACACAAACACTCTCTTCTCTGTAAAATCACTGAACATCTTTGCATTAGTTCATCAGCGGTTGACACAGCTCCTTCACAATGTAGTTTTAACGCAATTCCTATAAGAAGAAAATCCCACTGCCGTTGTTTTTACATACTGTTTAGCCTCTTGGTGAAATCTATCAAGCCACTTCACGGGTATGAGCAGTGCCTTTGCAAAATAACTTTGAGTTCTGGTTTAAGGTCTCATCATAAGGTGAAAATTCTGCTATCATTCAACTGAACACTTCAGATCATAGTTTAAAAATAGTGTCAATTTGCAATTTCATCCCAGGTTTATACCAAGTAAGTGATCATTGTTTTGGTATTTTACTAAACCTAACAACTGTACAGAACTGAACTTAACAAACGAACTAATAATGTGCAAGAAAACTGGATAAAGTGAGTGTACATTTGTTAATTATTTAAACAATTAAAAAGATTAAAGAGGAGCTAAAGCCTCGTGAAAAATTCCCAGCACCTTTTTGTAACTCAGCCAGCCAATTTAACGAGACCCATTCCCTGCGTGTTATTCCCCATTCCTGAGTATTGATTTGAAGTGATTGAGATGATGATTCCCGGATGCCTTTGCTGTGGTTACAGTGATCATTATAGTGTAGAGTTACTGTGCAAAGTGCTTCCCCCGTGATTCCCAGTGTTGTTAATGTGCAGGACGATGTTTTCTTTTGGTATGGGGTCCCTGCGAGGAAAGAAAAACACCCAAGTGGTATTTCAGAGTGTTTATCTTCTGATAGTATGAGCATATGTCCATTAAAAGTACATCATGTTCTTTCCACAAGCAGGCAGAAGAGTAAACATCACATGAGGAGAGAAACATGCCATTAATTCATGCAGATACTCTGTTGGGGAAGACATCAGCAGCCTGATGTTAGCACTTTTTTGGCGATGGTTGCTGGGTTTGTTTACCCCAGTGGACAAATGGTTACCTCTAACTATAGAGAAAGGCCTAGAAATCACACGAGCGTCAGCCCATCAATAACTGTATGATAAAGGGGTACTGTGAAAGGACTCGGTCAGCCATGCACTGAGCAGAGATCAGATTTACATGAAACACAGCTGAGGGGAGGCTGCTGTGGAGGTTTATGAAGACTCGTGGTTTTCATCACGAGGTCGAGGTCCGATCTATTCAACTCTCAGGGCTGATGAAAACGTGTCCACTGCACTGTTAGAAAATACAACCTGTTATTTGACACTATTTTGTTTTGTAAATATAAGAAATTAAATGATACAATGCCATGTATGGTTGTTCTTGTGCATTATTTGTCGTGTTTACCTCCACATCAGCTTTAGTAATGGGTAGAAGATAATCTGGTATAGTTTATACTTCTGACTTGCTCCATGCACAAGGAAATATTGTTGTTTTTACTGCACTGAATGTGTTTATTATACCATACCATATGTAGATGCATTAAAGGTTGTGCAGCCGATTAGAAATAAGAACCAAAACACATCAATCTGTATGAATATACAATATTTATACACACAGAATGAAGAATATCATGCATTTTAATTAAGTGTAGTTAAAATTGAGTCTACCTCAACCAACTACATCAATAAATGCTTATGCATTAATACATCACTAATATTATTATAGTGTTGATTGGAATTTTTATGTCATGAGTATTTATTATTTACATACATACTGGTAGTAATTTTTTTCCCTATGCATTAAAACCCTGCTTTTGTGGTGTGAAGTTCTGAATACTCAAAAGTTGAACTTCAGGTCTCCTTACGAGCCTTTCTGGAGCATTTAATTTCTTTTACAATTTAGTTTACATTTCTCAATTTTTGATTTTTTTTTTTTTTTTTTAAGTTGTTTTTTTGGGCTTTTTGCCTTTATTTGATAGTGAAGTTGAGAGAGAGAGGAAAGTGGGGAGAAGAATGGGGGAAGGACCTGTGAAAAAGGACCATGAGTGGGACTCAAACTCATGACCGGGACTTAAACTCATGACCTCTGTATCGGGGTCTGTAGCCCCTGAACATGGGACGCCAGCTCAAGCAGGTGAGCTATAGAAGCACCCTGATGATTTTTTTTTTTGAAGTGATGAGGAAGACAGAGCAATACAGATGAAACACTGAAGGAAACGAGTCATTGGGTTCTAAGTTACCATTCTTCTTACTTCTAGTGTGTGTCAAACTACTCTTTTTACTGATATACTTGTTCCATCACTGCTTCTGACAGTGGAGGAACAGCTTAGATTCACAGTTGACAAAGAAATCTTAGCACTAGGTCCATTTAGTGGCTGTTCAGTCTGTAGTGTTTAGTGTTAGTTCACTGTTTAGTGCTTTCAATCATATTCAACATCAGGCGAAGTTTGCTGAGTTGTTATAGAAATGTGTGTATTAGAATTTCCAATGGTTCTCTTACAGTTAAAGATCATTTCAAGATCATGTCACATGTATGAAAACTCCAGCTGCTTGGGGTTTTCTCAGCATTGCAGACATGGGATTCATTCAGGGATAAAAAATAAATAAATAAATAAATAGAAAATAAAACTACTGTACTAAAGTTCAATTTTAAGGTGCTTGCACTTTATTTCTGTTTTATCCTACTTTTTACTTTGACTCTGCTACATTTCAGAATGGATTTATTTGACAGCTGTACTTACTGTGAAGATAAAGATGGATAATATCACACATTATTAGAGATTAAACCTGTGGTTTCCAAACTTTCTGGCTCATTACAATAAAAACCATTGTGTTGTTGGACTCACATTACAGATGTCTATCAGTAGTTAACAGCTACAGTGAAGTGTTTTTTCCTGGCTCAAAGATTAGGGAAAAAGTCCAAAAACTAAAAACAGGTTTGTGCATCAGAATGTGTTTTGTTCTTTCCTTTCCCGTGTAGAGACATAAGACTGGCATTCTGAATTTACATAACAAGTTTAAAGGTTAAAGGTTGCAACCCTAATGTGTTTTTCATTTGCATTTGCCTGAGTAATTCAAGTAATAAGCTTAAGACCCTGCAATATTATGTAAAATACCACATATATCTGACTAAATCAAATATCAAATTTGAGATTCTACAGTAATATTTATCATGTAATTTTATCAGATTAATTCAAATGTTACAGTTAGGACCTTACAGTATTACATTAAATAAAATTTTTAGTGATTTAAATGTTAAAGTTAAGACACTACAATATTATACATTATACAAACCTGACTAACTGAAATCTAACTTAATGTAACTTAAAAATATCATTCAAAGGGACAAAGCCAATACTTTTAATTCAATACTTGAACAATATATTGGTTCAAGTAATAAATTTATACTTTCATACTTTTACTAAAGTGGGATTTTTATTGCAGCTTTTTTCCCCCACTTTTAATGGTGTATTTTCATATTGTGCTGCTTTGGAGCTTTAACTGAAAGATTACTTCTTCCATCACTGGCTTTAATGAAATGCAAGAAGTTGTTTTAATATGTTTCTACACATTTAATTGTCATATGGTGTAAATAGAGCCGTTTAACCAGATTGTGTAGAAATACTTAGTGTAGATGTGTCACGACAGCATCCAGCAGCATGTCTACTCTCATTGCAGCTCTATGTGGTATATTTCTACGCGCCGCTGCCGTGGAGCTTTCTGCGTCACATTTTCGCCCCAAAACTTTATTGTTCCGAAGCGGAAGACAAAACGAGCTACGTGTCAGGAAGAAGGAGAATCAGCTAAATGGGCGAAGGCGACCAGGCCGCCTGAGTGAACCTGTTTGCAAGATTTTAGTTACTTTTTATCGTTCTTGTGGAGTTGTAGGTTACTACAACCCTAAAATTAAGGCTCGTCCAGTTCACCAGTGACGATGTTAACGAAATTTGAAACGAAGTCGGCCCGTGTTAAAGGTAAGAGTTTCACTGCTATAGTTAGCAAAGAAGCTAACGTTAGCTAGCTGTCGATTATGCTGCTCAGTTGTTTATCCTTTAGAAGTTGTCAGTTAATAAGGAACGCTTCTGTTTTACTATGCTTATTTATGACTAAGTCTAAACTTGAAACGTCTTGTATAATGCTTTGTTCAGATGTTGTGATGTTGAATGGACGCTACCTGTACGTGTATTTAGCTGTCTAGCTAACGTAGCTGCATTCTTCTGCATTCTCCCAAATTGCTGTGTTGTTAGATGAACGCTCATCTTCTGGATTTGGGCTGAACAATTAATCGATTACAAATCAAAATCGCAATTTTTGACGATGCATTTAGCAAATGGCGAAGGCTGCAATTTGGGTTATACGTCATGAAGCAGTCCAGCAATTGTGGTGGTGGCGTTACAAATTCATGGCACCCTCTCTGTGTAACAGTTTATAATGGCATCTCATGTGGTAAATGCTCCATTAGGTTTTAAATCTGTTACACAGTGAATAATAACTAATAGTAACTTAAGCAAGAAATGTTTTAGCTAATTCAATGTCAACCTTTGCTTACTTAATTGCAATATCTTAGTACTGACTTATGATGCTTACTTTAAAACAGTGGATTATTATTATTATTATTATTTTCATCCTTAAATATTTTGGGTTTTTTTCCCACTGATCAGCGTTTAATGTTATGCACTAAAACACCACGTCAGATTCCTTGTATTCGAAAACCTACTTGGTCGTGAAGTGATTCTCATTCTTTGAGCAAAATTGCAATTACACTCATTCAACCCTGGTCTGAAGTGTAGTAGCTGGTTTTGTGACATATTATAAGGTAATTAATGCTACATTTCAGGCCTAAGTTTCCATCCCAAAAGGCCATGGGTTCTGGCAAGTTTGCACAATGGAGTCATCCAGCTGTGGGATTATCGGATGTGCACTCTGATCGACAAATTTGATGAGCACGATGGTAAGACAGCGATGTGGCTGCTGTAAGATGTTACAGTCTGTACCTGGTATTCTTGAGTCAAATGAAATGTGTTTACTGTGGTGTCGCTCACAGGTCCTGTCAGAGGAATTGATTTCCACAAACAGCAGCCTCTCTTTGTGTCTGGAGGAGATGACTACAAAATCAAGGTGAGACTACTGCGTGAAGCAGCTATAAAAAGTGAAAACGCTGTCACGCTTGAAGAGTGTTGTCTGACTTATTTTTGGGTGTTTGATCATGAGTTCAAACATTTACAGAAGTCCAAAGTAATATTGTTTATGGCTTATATCATGGTGCAGTTATGTCTTGAAGCACTATAATTTTGTCATGTAATTTTAGATTAACAGTAGGTACATGTTCTTATTTGACCAGGTGTGGAACTACAAGTTGAGACGCTGCCTCTTCACCCTGCTGGGACACCTTGACTACATCAGAACCACCTTCTTTCACCATGTGAGTTTATTCTGTCACTACCATATGTTTGGTTCTTGCTTTCTCATTTTCAGTTTCAAATGATAAACGCCTCCATATTTATTATTTATTTTCTAAAATTACTCTTGAGTGAATACATTTATTTTATCACCTTGCACCTTGTAGGAGTACCCGTGGATTCTGAGTGCCTCAGATGACCAGACCATTCGCATCTGGAACTGGCAGTCCAGGACCTGTGTTTGGTAAGACACTCCGTAAACTGCGCTGATTTTCCTCAAAACTTGTTCATAATTAGACACTATAGTTTAAAGTTATCATAAACACAAAAATGTAATCATTGGTAATTAGAGTGATTACACTGGGACAAGAGAACACTTTTTGTCTTCCATAAATTTTCACTTTCCAACACTGACCTTTGCTACGTACATATTGTCTATAATCCTTAGAGATGCATCTTTGAAAAAATATTACTTACATTTATTTTTGCTGGGTCTTTTTTTTGTAAATAGGCAGCTATATTCAGTTTTGCATTGTTACATTTAATTATTATAAAGTCTTTAAAAATGTCAGTGGAACCATTTGATCAACTCTGAAGACAACTATTCATGTTTAAAATACATCCCCTCTTTCTTTCTCATCCACAGTGTGCTGACTGGCCATAACCACTATGTGATGTGCGCCCAGTTCCACCCGTCCGAGGACCTGGTGGTGTCAGCCAGTTTGGATCAGACCGTGCGAGTGTGGGATATCTCCGGTGAGGGCTTGGGGATGGCGGACCAGAGGACAGTGGGCTGGGTTTGGGGGAGGGGTGGGGGCAAAGTGGTACGAAGGAGGAGGAGGAAGAAGAGGAAGGCAGAAGTAGGACCAATGTGAAAGCCTCAACCTCTTCTTCCTCTCCGACTTGTAGAGGACAAATCTCTGTGGGCTGTTTGCAGAAACACCTCTCTTTACAGGAAAGATAGAGGCAGA